TTTGGTCATCATGCATTTTGCGGTTACTTATGTTATAAACTGACAATATATTGTTTTTATTTTTATTTAAAAGTCAGTTATTTTTAAAAGAGATTTAAATTATAACAAGCAAAAAAGCACACCTCTTTGTCCACGTGGTGGTGGTTTCCAGTGCTCTCTGTTCACGTGTGTAGATTGCTCTGGGTTGGGGGCGGACTGTGCCAGGGTCTGATGCTACACTGGAGCTGAGCTGCTCGATGTTGTCCGCAGCTGACTGATCCTCGGAGCTCGTCGTGCTTCTCATTTTCTGTTTGATTTTGGGAAGTTTCTGTTACTGTGTCTTCAGGTTCCCAAGTCTGCTATAAGGCCTAACCTGTTGTTAATCTCATCAGGTATTTTTAATATCAGACATGGGAGTTTTCATTTCTATAAGTTTTTTCTCTTTTCTTTCTTATTTTTGTAACTTTTATGTCCTTACCTGACTTTGTGAACATATGGAATACAGTTATGGTAACTTTTACCATCCTTCTCAGTTAATTTTACCGTCCGTGTCAGGTCTGGACGACGTCTGTGGGTTAATATTTCTCACTGTCACGGGTCACACCGTCCTGCTGCTTTCTTTGCGTGCGTGGTCATTTTTGGTTAGATTGAGTTTTACTTTATTCAGGGCTTAGTATTTTTGTATTTCTTTAAGTATTTGATATTTGTTCTGAGATGCAGCCAAGTTTCTTGGAAACAGTGTGATCCTTTCATATCTTGTTTTTAAAATGTGTTAGGTGTGAGTGGAACCGTGTGGTGTGGGACCTGTTTCCTATCACCAAGGCAGGGCTCCAGGAATCATAAGATTTTCTGGGCGGGGGGACGGTTAACCATTTCAGGCCCTGCACGTGAATGACATATGTTGTTACACTTCTGATCCTCCCAGGTGGTTCTTCCGTGAGCCTTGGGTAGTTTCATCACATCTGTGCTTTGCAAAGAACCTGGCCGACAGTGTGCTGGGGCCTGGGCCCTGCGGGTTTCTGGAGCTCCTCCTGCCGTCTGGCCTGTGCACTCAGCCTCCCCATCTCCTGCATTCTCTTTTTCTCTTTCACGCAGCCATACACTGGGTTCCCACCTGACTTCCCACTCCCTGGGCACAGCCTGGGACTTCCCTCAGGGCAGTGGGCTGGACCTGTGGGGGTTACTTTAATGTCTCATGTCAAGCCGGGCATGATGACTCACGCCTGGAATCCCGGCACTTTGGGAGGCCAAGGCGGGCGGATCACAAGGTCAGGAGTTCGAGACCAGCCTAACCAACATGGTGAAACCCCGTCTCTACTAAAAATAAAACAAAAAAAATTAGCCGTACCTGGTGGTGTGTGCCTGTAATCCCGGCTACTCAGGAGGCTGAGGTGAGAATCACTTGAACCCAGGAGGTGGAGGTTGCGGTGAGCCAAGGTTGCAAGACTGCACTACTGTTCTTCAGCCTGGGTGACAGAGCAAGACTCTCTCAAAAAAAAAAGAAAAAAAGTCTCATGTCACGTAGGAATCCGTGTCCTTTGTTGCCCTATGTCCCACATCTAGAAAAGGATCATTTCATCTATCTTATTTGGTTTCTTGGTGGTTTCAAAGGGAAAGTTAACCTAGCTCCTGTGACTCCATCTTGCCTGGAGGCAGATGGCCTGTGTCTTCCCAGCACCATGTGCCCAACCTCCAGTCTCCCCAAGAGCCCGCCTCACTTGTCATTGTCTTTGCTCCTCAGTCTCCTCTGGCTGCAGTGCCAGGCGTTTCTTGCATGGTTGGGTCACTCCCCATCTTTCTAAGGTGGTATTATCTCTCATCTTAGATGAAGCCACCCCGGGGCAGCCCATCTTCCACTGTAGAACACTTCAGCTGTCTGCTTGCTGTCCCATCTCCTTGCTTCCATTCCCTCTTGAGTCCAGTCCAGGTCTCCTTGCTTCCATTCCCTCTGGAGTCCAGTCCAGGTCTCCTTGCTTCCATTCCCTCTGGAGTCCAATCCAGGTCTCCTTGCTTCCCTTTCCTCTGGAGTCCGGTCCAGGTCTCCTTGCTTCCCTTCCCTCTGGAGTCCGGTCCAGGTCTCCTTGCTTCCCTTCCCTCTGG